AAGTAATTTCTTTCTGTAGGTTTTAATTTTAAAAGGAATAAGATGTTTGATCCTTTTAATAGACTCTACTGCTGTGAAGTTTATCATACATAAGGTTTTCTTAAGTCAATAAAATTCTGAAGTGGAAAAATGTAGGCAGATCAGTAACAAATAAGCATGAAAGATTTCCCATCATAAAGATTCATGACTGTGCATAGATGAGGATGTGTATACCATACACACTGTAGGCAAATCCAGATTGCCTTACAACAACTGCTTCTGTTACTTAATTTAACTCATTTGGTTTTAAAACCTCCATCCCCACATCTTCAGCAAACACATCCGAAGAAATACCCTTATCTGGCCTTTAGTTTTCTAGTAACATTTTAACTGACACAAGCTCTTACTCCCATAGCTTTCCATAATTGGACAAGCAGTGGCAGTGGGCTCATCAGGAACACAGCATATGGTGAGATCATGACAGTTAGCTACAAAATTTTCATCAATGTCCCTGAAAAATAAACTCAGAGACTGGATTACAACTAATTGCTAGATCATGTGCAGTATTGAAATTTTGCAGAATGAATTTTTGTTTAATGAAAAGCTGATACATGTGTCAACAACGTTGTTATTTGTTGCCAAGATTTTCTCATATATCTGGAAATAAGTCCTCTACCATATTATTCATTTGTAAAAGTAACATTACAAGCTAGCATGTTACTTGGACATTTAGCTCATAAAAAGTTTTCAGAACTCACCTACCATTAGAACTACTATGATAAGGGAAGATTTTCTGTTGTCATTGTTTTTCTTAATCTCAGAAAGAATTTATTTTCAAAACCTGCTTCAAGAAAAGAATGAACAGGGAGTTATAATACCCTTGAGAATTTTTTATCAAAGTCTTCTGTTCACATTCTATACTAGTCAGAAATTAATTTTCACCAAACTACTTTATCTCATTTCACCTTAGAAGTCACAATTTGTCGCAATTTCTGAAATCGTCTGTAGATGATTCTGCTATTATACAACCATAGTTTCTTCTTGAGTTGGAAGTCATTCTAAAACTACATTTGGTAGATTTTTTTTTTTTTGTCCATTTTACAACACAGAAGGAGAATTCAACTTCCAGGATTACCAGTTTTTTATCTGCGTTTTTCTTGTATTGCTTCTGAGAAAATGAAAACTGCACAAAAGCAGTGGAAGGAAGGAAGGAAGGAAGGAAGGAAGGAAGGAAGGAAGGAAGGAAGGAAGGAAGGAAGGAAGGAAATAACCACTGCCATTGTGTGTGAACCCTGGCAAGTAGATATAAATAGCACATTCTGGGATTTTTAGTTTGGTAAAATGACATTTACATTCCACTTCATGTTTCAAAGGAAAAATGGCTAAACAATTTCCTGATGGCAAAAGTTCATTTCAAGTCACCTTCAAAAAACTACAATGCAGAGTAATTGAGTAATAAATGTGATTTGAAATTATTAAAAAATGATCTTTCAGGTGACCTCAGTGCAAACTAAAACAATGACTAAAAAATAGGTGTTGTGTCCTTGAAATACGTAAGAGTTTATCCAACATCGGCTTCTCAGTCTTCCCCTATGGTTCTCATGGATGATACTAATCTGTAGGATTTTCAGTACCTCATTGAAAGACAGGAATGGATTTATACAAAATCAAACTTTGGTATTCCAGTAGTACTGATTTTTTTTTCAACAAATTGAAAAAGTTACTTTATGTACATATGTACAGCTTACCTCTCCAGAACTGTTATTGCAGAGTGTTTTTCTTCTTCTGATCTGAAATTTGACTAAGACAAATTTGACAGCCTATGTCATATGATAAAATATGACATACGATATGATATGATAAAAGTAGGTAAAGTTGTTCCAAATCCACTTCCCAAGCAATCTTCACGGGAAAAACAAAACAAAACAAAACAAAAACAGGTTTAAAACAAAATAGCAGCGGAGGTTGTTAATATACTAATGTATCTCCTACAGCAAAAAGTTAATGGATTAATTCCCCAGCAGTTTCCCCGAAACAATGCTGTTTATAACACATTCTTGTGGATGTTTATACCATGTTGGTGGATATGTGAGGGTCCTGTCATAAGTCTAATAACAATTTACAATCACAGTTCAAAATATGAATGAAGGGGAAAATACAGTCAATGAGGAGCAAGGTCAATAATTGTACTAGGTTTACATAGCCACTATGGTATAAATATTGCTCTGATATTTAATATTCTAGATTTCTAAATTCTAAGTTACTTATTACTAAAATTATAAATTGCTTATTACATAATGTTATATTACAAAGTTAACATGTTAATAATAAAATAATGATATCGTAATGTAAAAGTGCAACTTTTCTCTGAAGAAATTGCTGAAGAAAAAGAAAGAAACTAAGTACTTAACCCCTCCTGACCTTCCAGAGGAATGACATTTAGATTAGCCCCTTTTCTTTTCTTTGTATATCTTCTTAGTAGGTGATACAAAAATTCCAAAATGATTTTACTTTCCCATGAACTATAGGTAAGCAACTGCCCTCCAGCTGAGACAACAACAAACTCTGCAGGCTACCTTTATGGTACATTACACCATAGGAAATTTCACAATGAGAAAAAGCTTTCAAGAAAACAAACAGTAATGGAATACACAGTCACACAGACACACACACAAAAGTAAGAAACACAAGAAAAAAATAAAAAGAAAAAAAGGAAAAGGGAGTCTATGAAAAAACCTGGCTTACCGAAATGAAAGACTATTGGGCAAAATCTGATACACCTGAATGTCTCATAATTCAGCCAAATGTGTGATTCTTCTTCCCTACTCTGATTTACTACAGTAAATCAAGCTTTTTACTAACTGTATAATTACAAGTAACTCTGTGTTCTTCCATCTTTCTCTCTCCCTATCATTCATACTGTACCTTTTTCAAGTTCAGAATTCTTCTTTCACTTTCACCTTGTGTTTCCCTAAGGAGTCAGATATCCAGATTTTTGTACACTATCAACATCTTTGCTTCCAAAGCAGGAGGCTGCCAGAAACAGCCATGAAGAGATACTATACTGGGAAGGAGTCCACTCCTGGGATAGGTGCTCCCCTGCCTAATTTAAATGCCTATAATTGACAACAGCCTTTCCAAATACAACATACATATTTTTTAGTTATTGCTGCCAATAGCTGCACAGTTAAAGATGTTCCAACTTCTCACATGGTCCTGCCAACAAGGTGGGTAGAGGGGGCACAAGGAGCTGGGTGTGGACAGAACGAGAACAGCTGACCTAAACTGGCCAAAGGGATATTTCATAGCAAATGACATCATGAGAAATAAACATTAAAAACTGTAGAGAGTTGGCTGTTTCTTCTCAGAGACTGGCTGAGCATCGGTTGGCAGGTGGAGAGCAATGTTGCATGTCACTTTGAAAACATGTATTAATATTGCTACTACTACTACTTTCCTTTTTCTTTTCTGTGTAAGAATATATTTGTCATATTTGCTTTTTGGTTGTTGGTGGTTTCTCTTGGTTTGTTTTGTTTTTTATCTCAATCCATGAGTCCAACCTTATTGACTGTTTGGTTGTTGTTGTTGGTTTTTTTTTTTTTTTTTTTTCTCTCAGCTCTCTCCACTAACCCACTGGGAAAGGCAGTGGGTGAACAGTTGCTTGGATTTAGCTATATGCTGTGGTAAACCACAACAGCATTTTTTGGCTTGCAATATGCGGCATGAAGAGTTGAGACAACAGCAAATTTGACCAGAGAGTGCTAAAAAAAATTTTTAAGTGTTGTAGCAGTTAATTATTTAGCTAGTCACAATGTTACTTTCTTCTTATTATTTTTGGAGTTATTTCAGAGTCTCTTCTTGAAACAACATCATTTAGCACCTTACTTGCTGTGTATGTTCCTTGTTGTGCTGTTAACCATCTGTAGGGTTGGATTAAGGTCATCATTTTCCTTTACAGTGTAACTCCGGCTTAGAATAAGATAAAATTACTGTTTGGGAGACTAATTTGGTATTTGTCCTTGGCATTACATTCATCTTCATATTTCGGGATCTGTATCTTGGAAACTACTACTAATTACACTATTTATCTCCTCAGGGAACCAGGCTACAGAGAAGACAAAGGGGAATACTTTCCCCTGCTTCCACCCTTCCTCCCTCACTTTTCTTTTCCCCCCTCCCCCCTCCCCAGGTCAGTTACAGTAGCTCTTAATAATTATGAATATCCTTTGAATGTTCAAACCAGCATGTTGTACTGTACACTGCCATTTTACCTGTACTTCAGGAGCCAATCTGTAGGAAACAACTTCCCCTTTCTCTTTCTCTTCCTCTTCTGCTTCCCTTTTCCTTTCCCTTCTTCCCTTTCCCCTTCTCTTTTTCCCTTTCCTTCCTTTTCACAGAATCACAGAATCATGGGGGTTGGAAGGGACCTCCAGAGATCAAGTCCAACCCCCCTGCCAAAGCAGGTTCCCTACACCAGGTCGCACAAGTAGGCGTGCAGGCGGGTCTTGAATATCTCCAGAGAAGGAGACCGCACAACCTCCCTGGGCAGCCTGTTCCACTGCTCCATCACCCTCACCGTAAAGAAGTTCTTGTGCACATTTGTGCAGAACTTCCTATGCTTCAGTTTTCCTCCCTCTCCATTCCCTACCCCTCCCTTCTCCTTCCTTTTCACTCTCTTCCCCTTCTCATTTCCCTTCCCCTTCCTTCCACTTTCCCTTCCCATTCCTTTCCCTCATTCTTTTCCTTTCCCCTCCCTCTCCTTTTCCTTCCACTTACCTTCCCCTTCCCCTTCCTTTCCCTTTGCCTTTGCCTTTCCCTTTTCCTTTCTGTTCCTCTTCCCCTCATCCTTTCTCTTTCTCTCTCCCTCTCCCTTTCTTTCACATTCCCCTTTCCTACGTTCTAACTCTGACAATTCCTCAGACACAGATCACTGCTACGTGCTGGGGCCAAGCTGACAGGCTGTCCAGCGGTGCAGTCCTATGCACAGTGCACATATGGACAATAGGAACAACTTGTGCTTCTACGTTTTTATCTTTTATTGGAAATGCGTGAGCCCCCCTAGAGGGGCCGGGGGCGCCGCCTCTTGCAGGGCGGAGGATCGCGCTGGGCGCTGCCGGCCCTCCTCTTGGTGGGGCGCCGGCGCCCCCCAGCCGAGCGCTTCCTGCCCCGGCCGTGAGCGGAGGGGCCGCGGCTGCGGCGCTGGGCAGAGGGACCGGCTGCCTCGGGAGCCGGCTCCTCGCTGGGACCTGTGCCGAGGGCCCCGTTGGATGTGCCGGGGAGCTCCTCTGCGTCGGGACCCGCGGAGCTGCTCGAGGGCACAGCGCTGGGAGCGACGGTCCCCTCAGGAGCGGTGCCGGGACCGGACGGGGCCGCGGGGCCGTCCTCGTGCTCCCGGGCAGCGCCGGGGTCTTCGAGGCCCAGCAGCCTCCGGGCCTCCTGGCTGCACCGGCTCTCGATGGCTGCGATGAGGCCGTCGATGAGCGGTGCGGTGATGGGTCCCAGGGCGTGCTCTGTGCAGTCCACCAGGACGTCCCTGTCCGGCCCCACCTGGCAGAGGAATGCCAGGATCATGCTCTTGATCCAATCGATCTTCCACCAGCGCAGCTCCCCGTTGCGGCGCAGTTCCTGCTCCAGCCAGGGCAGCACCGGGTCGAGGATGTTTCTTCGGACCCTGAAAAGTGCCGCCCACTCCCCCAGCAGGAGGCCGCCCACTCTTTCCGGCTCCGCCGCCATGGGCTCAGGGGACAGTGGTGGAAGGGGGGGAAGAAGGTCCTCGTCGCTGTCGGGACCGGTGGCAGTGGTGGTGCCGAAGCCGACGGGCACCGGCACTGCGGGCGGGGAGACGACGCAATCCACGTACTGGTTGTCTCCCCGCACGGAGACCCGGATGGTCTCCATGGCTGTCCTGCACAGCGGGCAGCTGTCCCTCAGCCTCGCCCACCGCTGGATGCAGCCAAGGCAGAAGCTATGATTGCATGGAATCGCTCGTGCCACGTCCTGCCGCACCTCGCGGCAGACAGGACACATCCATGCCTCTTCTGCAGCCATGTTCTTCTCGCTGCAGGCACTGGGAGAACCGAGGATGACGAGTTGTTCTCCTTCAACGCAGCTGCGGCGGTGGTGTCTCGCCCTGCAAGAGGAAGGGAGGTCACAGTCACTCACTGTCCCAGGGTGTGCGAGTCCTCTGCAGAAAGTCCCCCCAAGCCCACTGTTGGGCCGTCTCGTGCTCCCCGCTGGCACAGGGCCAGGCTCCCCACGGCTGCCCTGAGGGACCCAGGTGTCCCCGCACCACTCACCTCCGCTGCTGCGGGTGCGCTCAGTAGGTCCCAGCTGCCTGCACTAGGCAGGGCCTAGTGGGAGCAACAGGGGAAACAGAAGTGATACTGCGGGATCAGGCACTGAGATGCTGCAAGCAGCCCCAGGAAAGACCCAACACAGTACAGCCAAGAACTTGCTCGACCTCCAAGCCTCGCAGAGCTGCTCAGCACGGTCCAGGAACGAGCCAGACTGAGCCAGGCTCTGCCGGCACCCCACTATGAGCAGTGAGGGCACAGCTGTCACAATCGTCACCCGGTGATGTCACAGCCTGTTGCTCGGTAGCATCACAGACTCATCTGGATTGGCAAAGACCTCCAAGATCATCAGGTCCAAACTTCAACCTAGCACTGCCAAATCTACCACTAAACTGTGTCCCTAAAGACCACATCTACATGTCCTTCAGGGTTGGGGACTCAGTTACTTCCCTGGGCAGACTGTTCCAATGCTTCAGAACCATTTTACTAAATATATTTTTCCTAATATCCAACTCAAATGTCTCCCAGTGCTGCATGACACCATTTCATCTTGTCACTCATTTCCTGGGAGAGCAGGCCAATCCCAGCTTCCTTACTACCTCCTCTGAGGCGATTGTAGAGAGTGCTAGGGTCTCCCCTGACTTCCCTTTTCTCTAGGCTACATTAACCACAATTCCCTCTGATGCTCCTCACAAGACTTGTTCCTTAGACCCTTCCCCAGATGGCATGGAGGATTTCTGGGGGAGGTCTGCTCTTGCTTCCCAGTCATCCAGGCTTTCATGGACAATACAGGGTTCTAAGCATAAGGCAATTTCAGTGTTTGTCTACCGAGTCTCAGAATGAGGTTCAAGCGTGAACTTAAGTAACAGTGTGAATGTAACTCCCTGCAGCTGCCCTGAGGGACCCAGGTGTCCCCACACCACTCACCTCCGCTGCTGCGGGTGCGCTCAGTAGGGTCCCGGCTGCCTGCACTAGGCAGGGCCGGGGAAACAGGAGCGATACTGCGGGGTCAGGCACTGAGATGCTGCAAGCAGCCCCAGGCACGACCCAGCACAGCACAGCCAAGAACTTGCTCGACCTCCAAGCCTCGCAAAGCTGCTCAGCACGGTCCAGGAACGAGCCAGACTGAGCCAGGCTCTGCTGGCACCCCACTATGAGCAGTGAGGGTACAGCTGTCACAATCGCCACCTGGTGATGTCACAGCCTGTTGCTCGGGGACATCACCATGGGCTGTCTGCCCCTACAGTACCCATCCCAGTGTCAAGACATTCTTTTATTTTCCCATTTTACCTTACCTTACTCTTCTTTTTCCTGTTCCTAATTTGCTTAATCTTCCTTTTCATTCCTGTCCACCTCTAATGCCTTACATTTGACATCAGTGCGTAGATCTTTACTTTTCTTTGAATAAATCAACCCTGATTATATATTTTCTCTGTTTCTTTACCAGCGTACTGTAGATTTTTCACTAGTGTGTTATGCAGAAATTGGGTTTGGCATTCTGCTTGCTTCAGGAATGTCTGGTCAATCTTTCCCTTTCCTCTTCTGTATGCATGATCCTGATGCTTTTCATAAATATCTTCCGTTATCAAACTGGTTATATCTTTCTTCTCGAGTGTCACACCTCACCTCTGGGATGGGAGGAATGAGTAAAATTTGTGAATCACCTCGGACTGGATTAAGATGAAATAAGACAGACCATACCTAAACACCAACTTTAAAGAGAAATCTCTACAGAACCATGACCCAGTAGCCTCTCAGATGTATTTCTACCTACACTGTGTAGTTCTATGGAAAATCAAATTAAGCCTTGAGTTACTTAACAGCTTTTGAGAAACCTTGTCTTAGCAACTTTAGGAGGAAAGAGAAAAATGATTGGGTGAGGGGTGGGGGAGAGACATCACCAGTTCTTGGTCCAGCTCCTGATCCGCCAATGGGGGTGTCAGGCATGGAGAGAAGGGGCCTACCCTAGACTTGTGCATATCCCTATTTACAGATCCCAGTGCCTGGACTTTTGGAGCGTTTTCTTGCCCCAGTTCCAGGATTGGTTGAGAAACCTATCAAATTAAGAGAAATGACACCAGGCACTCTCCCGTGGCTTAAGAGTCTCTCAGAGTGTTATACAGACTCACAGTACACTTGGGCTAGTCCCTCACGCTGAGGTGACCAGTTTTCCCTGGCAATCACCTGGAGAAACAAAGTACCTCCCATCATATGAAGATCAAGCCTTCGGCCACGTTAGGAGCCTTGCACATATCCCTGAGATCCAACAAGATTCATTCCAGAGTCCTAAAGGAATCAGAAAATGGAGTTGATAAGCTGCTCTCTATTAGACTTGAAAAGTGATAGCAGTCAAGAAGTCTACTGACAAGAAAATGGAACATTGCACTCATTTTTTAAAAGTTTATTAAGGACAGTGACCTACTTCTGATCCTTGGTAGTGTGATTAGCATCACCAACGAGAAGGCACATATCCACAATATGTAAGCAGTTTGTGTGTCCCTGTCCCCCACTCTGACCCAGGATGTGCAGACATCAGTGGTCAGGGTGATAAAGGTCATCTGTATTATCAAGACCCGATTGGTGAGCCACCAAGAAGGTATGGGGAGCTTCAGATGTCAAGGTGATTAAACCCATCAGTGTTAGCATGATTTTTATCACTTACAGCATGTTTAGGCTTCTTTATGGCTTTCCCAGTTTGTATATAGCATGTTCTCATGTTGTTTCAGTCATAGGTTTAATTTGGTACTTGTATTCAATGGTACCATCATTCTCGGGCTTCAGGAACATACTGGGCAAACTCTTGACATTCTTTAGGCAAGCTAAAATAGTTGTTGACAATTTTGAATATATGTGGGATATTCAAACAAGTGTGACCTTGTTGTTATGTCTCCTGCATGTATTTCCAGTTCTATTTATGATTAAGAAACTATTAAAAAATACCACCCAGAGTTCTATCCTGAGGCAGGATGGTTGTGGATGACAAGATGTGGGGGAGGACATGGGTAGGTATCTGTCATGGTTGTCACCTCCGATGGGTCTGGAACTTAACCTTGAACGAGTACAGAATCCTAAAAAGCTGACTGAATGTTTTGCAAAGCTAGGGCTTAATCCTGGAAATTTCAAAGAGTTTACTGCTCTGTGCTAGGGCCTGGTCTTCACCCATTCAACACTATTCAGAACCCTGAAAAGGAAAAAAATGTCTCTGGATTTGACTCATTGCAACCAAGATACTAATGTGTGCAGGTATCCATCACCTCTATCCAGAAGCAGAAACAATGGAACAGGAAGTTGGTTTGTTTAGTAAGGAAGAAGAAAGAGAATGAGGAAGGCTGCTCCATATGGGGCCATCACAAGAATAGAAATCAGAGGCAGAGGTTATAAATGAGCCAGTAACTACTCGTTGCCTATCCCTAGCTGTGAGATATGAGGAAAAATTTTAGCTGCTGTCCAGGTGAGCACATTGTCAACTGGTTGCTCCAGTGCTGGATAGTGGGGCTGATAGCTTGGGTTTAGTGGGTATAGGAACAAGGTAGCTGGGATCCCTCTTGAGAGCAGGGGGCATTCTCAAAGTAATTGCAAAAAAAAATGATAATTTCTCTTTCCCTCTGCATGTGACTCCTGACATCTGGGAAGAAAAGGTGTCCCTGCAGGAACAATAATACATGTCAGCCAATCAAGTGTACCACCACAAAAAGAGATATCCAGTATATGAAGGAAATAGACGTGCTTGAGGTGGTGTATAATACTGACCTGTCCAACAGTCAATTGTCCCAGAATCCAGACAGTATTAGAATCATGTGACAGATGTTTGCACTGAGTTCACCTTCATCATATGCGTACTTACTCAGGCAGTAATTGCCTGAAAAAATGAACAGGAACAAATATTGGATGAACTGGCTGACCAACTCTAGGATACTAAGAAAATCTCTCTTCCTCCCCACTCATCCTTGTTTCAGCTGTAGAGATACTTTATCAAGCAGTCCAACAACTCAAACGGTGTATATTTTCCTACCCAACTGTATGGACCAGCATCTCAGCTACCAGAAGTGTTTTTCTGATATAGGGAGAAGGGATAATGGATACGTATCATGTGCCATCCTGTGCTTTTAACTGTGTGACCATGAAGAGTACAGGCTGAAGTGGAATGGAAAACCCACCATACATGGAGGCATATTTGAGTTGCAAAAAAAAAAAAACAATCAAAACAGGCTCTTCCAGGAAAACGACTTCTCCAGTTTCCAGTGGACAGTCTCTAGATGAGTAGGTGGTCTCATCTTATTTCAGAGTTTGATAATGAGCCTTCTGATTCACATACATTAGAAGTAAGTAATGCATACAATAATCGGGACTAGAGGGGCCCTTGCTTCAGCCAGATGGAGGAAAGGGGCATTTGAGTTTATAGGACTGTATGTATTCAATGGCCTGGCACATCAGAACCACAGGATTATAAAGCTCTAGTGTACATTGATGAAAAGTGTAACCTAATGCCATGAAATTAAAAAGGGGTGGAACTCATTTATATTTCTAGAGGGACAGGGATTCCAAGAGCTAACTGTACTGGGGGCTGAAGTGAGCCTAACTGAGAATGAATGCCAAAAAGCACACAGTTGTGACTTGATCACATGATCTGCACATCTTCAATATAGACTACCTCAAGGGAGGGTACTTAACCATAAAAGATACTGGTGGGCTTTTGGTATAGCTGTTCTGGAGATAGAGCTGTCTACTTTGCCAAAAGGTCAATTCTGTTGTGATTTTACTAAGAGCAGAAGAACAGCAGGTGGTGATTGCTACTACAGTAGTACACCAGTGACAGCAACACACTAGCTGGGACTCCTTGATTTCCATCCATAAACTAATTTATCAGCTGGAAGACCAAGGAGTAATCATCATGATACTCTCAGCAACCCATATGGCCAGTGCAAAAGTTCAGTGAAGACTGAGAGACTAACAGTGGACTATTGAGGCCACCACTGAGCACTGCCCTGCTGGACATGCTAGAACTTAACACAAACTGGAGTCAAAGGCAATGAAGCTGTATGCCACAATCGATATTACCAATGCATTTTCCTGAGCTTCTTTGGTGGCAGAGTGCAGGTATGGTACTTATCTGCTTTCCAGGACAAACCAGGACATGCAGACATCTAAACTGAGTACAGAATCATATGACCCTTGTGCTCCCAGTGAAACTTGGGTAGAATTTTAGTCACCAGGAAATTTTATCTTATTTACTTTGGTACCATCAAGGCCAAGAGTGCAGTAATAGGCCTTAATCTGCCTTACTAGAACAATAGCACTGGGATATCTCATGTACTTGTCATTAGAATGTGTCCACTATGTAAAGAAATGTACTAACGTTTTGAAAATGGGAATCTGAGATAAAGCCAGGGCTGACTTTTACACTGTCTTAAAGTCATTGGGTTTCTCTGTAGGTGAATAACCACTGGGAAATTTATGATTCTTGGGCCTATAAAAAGAGAATATAACAAGCTCTCTTTGTGAATGTAATGAGAACAAATGTCATAGCAATGTGTTTTGTTTATTTTTAACTTCACATTTTTTTATTACTTGTCATTTCTATAAGATCAAGAACATAAGATAGTCACTTAAAGACTAATTGAATACACAAGAGGATAGTGAAGAAAAATGATAGTAAAACTGTCAGAATCTGTTCCATACCAAGGACTTAGTTTCTTTTTCAAAATACAGAGCATCAGACTGGAAATTTTTTTATTTAAATCAGTATTTCTGAAACTATCGTATTTTGAAATTAATGATCTTAGCTATGTATGTGTCCTGGTTTTTGCTGGTATAGAGTTAACTTTCTTCTTAACACCTGGCGTGCTACTGTGTTTTGGATTGAGTATGAGGATAAGGTTGATAAACACAAAAATGTTTTAAAGTTTGCAGAGCTGTA